TGCTACAGCAGAACTGGTCCTTGATGTGCGGTGCTGCGACCGATAGCGCAAATGCGATCTATTCAAACATCAAGACTTCACATACTATCCCGCAATAAATAGTTTGCACGATTTTGCGGGCATTCTGCAACAGGCATGTCTTAATTGATGCGGACTCCACGTGCAGTATCTCCTGCAGCTGTGCGACGACACGAACATGACTGTCAATCCACGTTGTGAACCGTGCGGGTCGAAAGACATGCCGCCGTTGAACAGCAAATGCCTTATCGACAACATTTGAAGAGAAGGCCCTGGATAAAGCAATTGCGATATATTCAACCATCAATCCTGGATCGTCCAGTATGTCGTACTCAGTATGTCCTGCAGCTGTGCGACGACACTCAGCATGATTATCCATCCACACAGCCTCGGCTGCGAACCGCCCAGGGTGCTGCTTCCTCCATATACATGAGCTGTGTGGCTCAAAAGACATGCCTCTGCTGAACATCGAGAGCCTTCTCGACAAGGCTTGAAGAAAAGGTTCCGGAGGCTCATCGGCGGCATGATTTTCAAGCCACACGGCTCATGTCAAGCGTGCCGACCTGACCAATACACCATAACACTGTAGCAGAGTCCGCTTCAAAGCGATGGCCGACCTGCTTGCGGACATAGAAGACAGTTGCTCACCAATGCTATTGCCGAGGGAGTACAAAGGGCCATCTTCCGTTTCCGAGATTACGTTTACACCTACAACGAAAGATTCCGACTCTTACAACTGCATACTTGAAGGATCTTGATCCCGACGTTGAACATGACGTTGTCTCGTTGGTGACTGCTATTGCTGCTACAGCAGGGTCCTTGAAATGTGGTGCTGCGACCGATAGCGCGATTGCGGTCAAAGACCAAGCATCCAAGCTTGGCATACAATCCACAACAAATAGCTCGCAGGTATTCTGCAGCGGCCGTGTCTTTGATCAGGCCAGAATTTCAAGCCACCCTCAAGGTGAAGTGTTGGCCACCTGCCATTTTGTACGTCCTTGGAGACCATGCACGAGCTCATGCTGTGCGTCATCATATCATATCGAAACCTACTACCGAAGCTTGAGCTGGGAAAAACACCACAAGCCAAACAAACATCAGGTTTGCGCAAGCATCATGCACATGTCGCGTCTTGCTGCGCACAAAGCGACAAATCCCCTGCCAAGCGATCCCTTTTAATCAAGCAATCCCTGTTGGTATACAAAGCGACGACAACCCAAACGTGGCAATGTTGGAAACATCCGCTCCGCACACCCAATGGGACCACATACAGGTCCACGTGCATCCACATCAAGAAGCACGGTCACTGTCCAACTGCTGCAGCTGCGGATCATTGATCTCCGGCGATGCAGGGACTCGCCTCCCGTAGCACGAGCCAGCTCCGCAATACAATCGCAGAACTTCTGGCCACGTTCCCGGACCCAAGCAATGCTCAACTCGACAAAGCCGCAAGGCCTTCATCTTGGCAGCACCGGACCCTTCTGCCACTTAATAGCGCCGATGTGCGACTGCTGAGGAATAATATCGTGACGCCAGACAACTCCGAAACAGCACCACTACCAGTCTCTACGTCTTTGGAGACCATGCTCGAACTCATGTTGGGCATCACTGTGCATCATCCTATCGAAACCTACTACTACTACAGGAGCTGGAGCTGGAAAAGAACACCACAAGCAACAAAAACATCAGGCTGGCACAAGCAACATGCGAACAAGCTGCAAGGAGCTGTCGAAAACGAGCATGTCGTGTCATGCTGCACACAAGTGCGAGAAACCCCTACCAAACGATCCCTTTTTGTCGCATGCGTGCATGCAGTGCGTCACGTCGATGAAACATGTCCCCCATCGGCACGCTCGGTTGGGTGCTGACACAATGAAGACACCGACGAGGCTATTTGCATCAATAAGAAGTCTGTGTTTTGCACATTCAACAGCTTCCTGGAACCTCTCTACATTCGTTCATCCCTGTTTACGCCGGGAAAATGGCCGCAAAAAACGGCCGCACCCCTATGCCCAGTGGATGGTGCAATACCTTCAAGCACGCACCCAGCGCCTTCTCAACCAGCCACGACATGGAAAAAGTACAATTGGTGCCATGTCGTCGACGTTGACATACGTCACCGTGGCAATGTTGGAAACAAATGACCACATACAGGTCCAT